TCCGTCGGAATGTTCGTCAGGATTTCCAGTGTTTTCTTGTAGTGTTTTGTTCTAAGGTTTAGTATACATTATTTATTCTAGAACTTTTCGTGTTGTTTGTATAGGTGAAAAATGTAGGATTCACGGGGGTTTTCAGGTTGATCTTCAAACCTCTTGTTGATGAGTTCCCTTGCTTTGGTGCACTCTCTTATTCACTGCGAGAGAAGGTAATTTAATAATGATCTTCATCGATTGTTATAATAAAATCTTTACTGTACTGTTATATATTGATCTTCTTTTGTTTTGTGTGAACAGAAAGGGCTTGATTTTACACTTAAGGTTATTGGTGGTGAGTTAACATCGATTCCAGGGATTTCAGATGCAATCGAAGTATGCAAAAACAAATTTTAATCTTATATCTTTAGCATACTCTAACTTATTATTGGTCAACAATATGTTTAACGTATGTTCCAGGAAACTATTCTTGACGCTATTGAAGACAGCATAACATGGCCCGTTAGAAAAATTATACCTATATTACCAGGAGATTACAGGTTTTTGCTTCTTTATATTATACCATCTGAATTTACCTTCGGTGAAGAGCATTTACGTAACTCTTAAATTTGTGTTTGAAGTGATCTTGAGTTGAAACCTGTTGGAACATTGGATGTGAAGATTGTGCAAGCAAAAGACTTATCTAATAAAGACTTGATTGGAAAATCTGATCCTTACGCTGTTGTATTCATTCGTCCATTGCCTAACAAAACAAAGAAGACCAAAACCATTGTAAGAAGATTTTCCTCGCCAAAGATTCAGCTATCTTTTTTTATTTGCTGATTTGGATTGTGCGTAACTTTTAAAAATTTAATGTCGTATAGAGTAACTCGTTGAACCCGATATGGAATGAACATTTTGAGTTCGTTGTGGAAGATGTATCAACTCAACATTTGACAGTAAGAGTGTTTGATGACGAAGGAGTCGGGTCTTCTCAGCTTATAGGAGCTGCTCAAGTACCGTTAAGTGAACTTGAGCCCGGGAAAGTAAAAGATATTTGGTTGAAGTTAGTCAAGGATTTAGTGGTCCAAAGGGATACAAAAAATCGTGGTCAGGTTAGTATATATATTCATTCCTCTAATTGTTACAAGTTATCATAAAGCAAAGCAGACCTTCTATATATTACCATGTGTAGTGGAGCAGTAGACTCTCATTCTAAAATAAATATTTAATTTAAAATAAATAAATATATAAATTAGGATCTAAATTGTTTAGTTCTTAGAGTATCATTATTCCAACAAAAAAAAAAATAAGTTGCTAAAAAAAAATTGGTTTGAAAAAAATAATTACAAAAAATAATAATAATCACGGGCCACCATGTATCAATTGCTTATTTTAGCACATCTGGAAATGGTTGTTTGTATTTTTGGTGGGGTTCACATACAAAAAGTGGCTAAGCAACCCACCAAAAACATGGGATAATGATGCTTTTAGAGCACCATCAACGCACAACCCTAATGTTGGGGTGCTTATTTGTTTTTTTTTTGTCTGATAAAAAAAGTTAAAAGCTAAACTAATCACGGACCACCACATGTCAGTAAATCCCGCAAATAGTGCAAGCATCAGAAAAACAACGCTGCTTATTTTGGATACATAAACATCGCAGTTTAGGGACCCATGCCTTGAGCAATCCCATAAGACAGCGTTGTTGATGCTCTTAGTTATACTTCTAAATGTAGAGTATAATTTTTTTTTTAAAAAACTAAACATATATAAATAGAAATATTAAATTTTTCATAATTTTACTTTCAGAATATACTATTAATATTTTTGATCCTGGTTTAGAAATACTTTCATCATAAAATCTCTTCAGCTTTTAGTTATCATTATAAACATTTTAGTTATCATGATATGTGGTGACATAGGTGCAACTGGAGCTCCTATATTGTCCCTTAGGCAAAGAAAGCGGATACAAGAACCCGTTTAACAAGAACTTCTCATTGACCATTTTAGAGAAGGTACTTAAACCGGAAAGCGAGGATTCAGATGCTACGGATGTGAAAAGCTCGCAAAGCCCGAAGAAAAAAGATGTGATTGTGAGAGGAGTGTTGTCTGTGACAGTGGTCTCTGCTGAAGACTTACCAGCTGTAGATTTTATGGGGAAAGCAGATCCATTTGTTGTAATCACGTTGAAGAAATCGGAAGCAAAATCCAAGACTAGGGTTGTACCGGATAGCTTGAATCCGGTTTGGAACCAGACATTTGATTTTGTGGTGGAAGATGCTTTGCATGATCTCTTAATTCTTGAAGTATGGGACCATGACAAATTTGGCAAGGTAAGATAAACGTTACCTACATTTATGGTAAGCTAAACATGGCTATGAATCTGTAGATTAATGTGTTTGGTCTGTTTTATTTTTGGAAGGATAAAATAGGGAGAGTGATAATGACATTGACAAGAGTGATGTTAGAAGGAGAGTTTCAAGAGTGGTATGCGTTAGACGGAGCTAAATCAGGGAAGCTTTGTATCCATCTCAAATGGACTCCAAGGCTTAAGCTCAGAGACGACTCTTGATTCTACTCTCAGCACAATGGCACATTACTTTTTAATTGTCCTTTCTTTACTTTTTCTTTTGTGTAGTGTGTGCTGATTACTGACGTTTGTCATCCTTCCTTCCTTGCCAGAGAAGTAATATAAATTTTAGTAATAAACACACTTTTAGTTTTGTTCATATTATTGAAAATTTACTGCATTGGGATATTCGTGTAGAAAGGATGGTATTGGCCTTTGGGGATTTTTTTGTAACATTTCTTCTTGAAAACTATTCAAAAGTATCTTATTCGATGAGAAAATATCTTATATATGAGAAAATGACTAGAATAAACCTAAAAAAGTTTTTATCATAAATATAGACCTTAACAATTAAAAGAATTAAAATAACACTTAAATGTTTTATCAAATATATATTTATACCTAGGCCTGGGCATTCGGATATTCGGTTCGGTTCCGGATAGGAACCATTCGGTTTCGGGTATATCAGATAAATCATTCTTATACCCAATAGATACTTATGAGATTTCGGTTCGGTTTCGGTTCGGTTCCAATTCGGTTTTGGTTCGATTCCGGATACCCATTTAATATATAAATCAAATATATAAACAAAATATATTAGTTAATATGTTAATTTAAATGGTTTAGTGTTTACACGCTTACATATTAGTTAATCCAACAAGAGTTCGAATCAATAAACTGTTAACTTTATAAATATTTATCATATTTTAATATAGAAATACAATATATATTTATAATATAACAGAATAAATAAAATATAACGTAATCTGGTGGTAAAAATATAATTACTCTTTGTATCTAACATGGGTTCAAGTGGGTTTGATGTCATTTTATCTTATTTTAAAAAAAAATTAACTTGTTTTTTCGGATATTCGGATACCCGTTCGGTTCTCGGTTCGGTTCCGGTTCCGGTTCGGTTTTTCGGGTATAGAAATATAGGAACCATTTGGATATTTAAGCATTTCGGTCCGGTTTCGGTTTCGGGTATTTCAGTTCGATTCCGGTTCGGTTTTTCGGTTCCGGTTATTTTTCCCAGGTCTATATATACCCTTGGGTTAACTAATCCTAGACTTTTTTGTTTAGAGTTAAGGAGTGGAGTTTTAGGGATAGGGTTTCGAATTTTAAAAAATTAAAAATACTTAAAATTTTCAAAATAAAAAATGCTATTTTGGTCACTTTAATTTTTAAGGTCTATTTATGTCATAAAATTAAAATTCTCTCAAGTAGCCCTCTTTTAAATTTTTATCAAAAAAATAGACCTCAAAAATTAAAATGACCAAAATAGCATTTTTTATTTTGAAAATTTTAAGTTTTTTTCTTTTTTTTTTTAATTTGAAATCATATCCCTAAAACTCTACTCCTTAACTCTAAACAACAAAGTTTATGATTAGTTAACCCAGTGATATAAATGTATATTTAATAAAACATTTAAGTGTTATTTTGGTTATTTTAATTGTTAAGGTCTATATTTATGATAAAAACTTTTTTATGTCTATTCTAGTCATTTTCTCAAAAAGTTTCCGCTAAAAACTATATAAATTATAGTATTATTAATAAATACGTTTCAACTCATGATGACTCATAAAGATTAATCGTATAGAGTAACCTTCTTATTCTATAATCTTAAGTTTGTTAAGGAATGCCTAATTATACTTGATTAAATCGATATAACTGAGTTGTATGTAATCTATGTTTGAAAATGGAATCAAACTTGTGGTAAATTAAAATCCTATTTTCTTTCTTTGTAGATTATTTGTATATGCGAATAAGTCAACCCTGAAAGAAGAAAAAAACGAAAACAAAACAAAACGAACAATATTTTGCTTGGTAACAACCTTCAAGAGAATTACCTTTTACCAATAATAATTGAATTTGTGAAGTTAAAATGTTAAATTAACCAAAACCGGATTAGACGGTCAAAGAGAGTAACAAATATAAATAGAAGTGTAAGGGAAGTAAATAAAACGAGAGACTGATATATAAACCTAAGAGAAACAAACAACTCTAAAAAATCTCAAAATTAGCTTTTCTTCTTAACTATTTCTTCTGCGCTTTCTTCTGTACAAACAAAAACAAACCCTAATAGTTAAGTTTAGAATGCAGAGTCCAATCTTGAAGTAGAAGAAGATACTATTTAATGGCGGATCTGACTTGTACGCCGTTTCTGTTCTATCCATTACTCGTCATCGTCCTCTTCGTCTACTCCCTTAACCACCATAACGGACTTCTCTCCACCGTCGTCAACGATGATCCTTCTTGTCATCTCTCCGTCGCCTCTTCGTCCGTGTTCTCTTCCTTCAGATTCTTTTCTTCTTCCTCTTGTCTCACCACTCTCAACAACGTACTTACACTCTTACTTTTAGCTTCATTTCTTTACGTATAAGTTTTCTTTTCTTTTGAGATGTCTTCTTTAGCTCATATTCATTTTAATACTTTTAATTGATTAATGTTGTTAAAAATTGAAACAGACGTCGTCATCAGAAGTTAGGGTGGTAGATGAAGCGGCGGAGAGAATCGAAGACGGTTTGGCGATGGCGAGAGCCGCCATACAGAAAGCTGGAGAAGTGAATCTACGGAGGAATGGTTCGGATTTGGGATTGATATCAAAAGGATCTATCTATCTCAACGCTTTTGCTTTTCATCAGTTAAGACCTTTTCTTTCTCCTATTTTTGCGTAGTCTCTAACTATCTTTTGAAAAATATACAAATCAGTATTAAATTTAGTTTAACAACCTTCTGTAGTTTGATCACTAGGTAATTAATTCCCTTTTGTTAGATTTGAATCAGTTAGGCTTTTGTAAGTTAGGTTAAAGAAAAGTTAAGCTTGTAAAAAAAATAGAGATTAAACAAATATTGTGTAGCTAACAAGTAGGTGCTCATTAGCATATGTACTCTCTTCTTTCTTGTTTTACTCCAAATCACCATTAATAGAAATGTCTTAGCATATTTGATCCAAAAAAATGTCTCAGCATAAAAATTTTACGTTAATTTCTATTTTTAGTAAAACCTACAACATACTACTAGTTAGCAGTTTCCTATTTCTAAAAAAATCACTTTCCCCATTTTTTGTTTAATATATTTTTTCTACAACATACTACTACTCTCTTTCTAACTTCAGAACTCAAAATCAAACCTACTTTGAGGAAATAAGTAGTTTAGCTTTTAGGTTTCTCCATACCTTTTCCTCTCCATCTCTCAGTTTGACCTTTGCAAAACATATCATTCACCTTTTTCCTTACTTCCACGTTAAAAGTTTCTTAAAATTTCACATTTGCAGTTATAGATATGATGTAAATTATATAGGCAAACACATCAAGAGTTATGCATATGTAATGTTTTTTTAATAATTTCTTTACACTTCACAATGAACAGGAGCCACAAAGAGATGGAGAAGAGATTCAAGATATGGACATATAGAGAAGGAGAAGCACCTCTCTTTCACGAAGGTCCTCTCAACGATATTTACGCTATTGAAGGCCAATTCATGGACGAGATCGAAAACGGAAAAAGCCGTTTTGCGGCAGCTTCACCGGAGGAAGCCACCATGTTCTACATCCCTGTAGGGATCGTCAGTATCATACGATTTGTCTATAGGCCTTACACTAGCTATGCACGTGACCGTCTCCAAAACATTGTCAAAGACTACATCTCTCTTGTCTCTAACCGTTACCCTTACTGGAATCGAACACGCGGCGCTGACCATTTCTTCCTCTCCTGTCACGATTGGGTGAGTAATCTTAAGTCAGTCCCTTACAATTTCTTGTATAAACTGTAAAAACCCTAACCCTAACTTTCTTTCTTTGTTTCCTTGTTATTCAAGGCACCTGATGTTTCAACAGTATATCCAGAACTATACAAGCATTTCGTGAGAGCTCTATGCAATGCCAATGCATCCGAGGGGTTCACACCCGTGAGAGACGTTTCATTGCCGGAAATAAAGATTAAATTCGGTAAATTAGGGTCTACACACGACGGAGAACCGCCTCAAAACCGCAAACTCTTGGCGTTTTTTGCGGGCGGTTCTCACGGAGAAGTCAGGAAAATTCTTTTCCAACAATGGAAAGAAAAAGACAAAGAAGTCCTTGTCTACGAGTATCTCCCCAAGACCATCAACTACACCAAAATGATGGATCAAGCGAAGTTTTGTCTATGTCCGAGCGGTTGGGAAGTAGCTAGTCCAAGAATCGTGGAGTCTCTTTACTCTGGTTGTGTTCCGGTCATCATAGCTGATTCTTACGTTCTTCCATTTAGCGACGTGTTGAACTGGAAGAGATTCTCGGTTCAGATTCCGGTAGGGAAGATACCGGAGATAAAGAAGATTCTAGAAGCGATAACGGAAGAGGAGTACTTGGAGATGCAGAGGGGAGTTCTTGAGGTTCGAAAACACTTTGTTGTAAACAGACCATCGAAGCCATATGATATGTTGCATATGGTTTTGCATTCGCTTTGGTTACGGAGGCTTAATGTTCGGATTCCTTTTTAACAGTGAGCTATATATGTTGTTAGACTCTTTAATATATAATAGATATAACACATGGTATAGTGGCTAGTGAGTATATAAGAAACTGGAAAACTATAGATATATTTCATTCTACATAAGTTTAGTTTGGGAATGGAACGTACAAGTTGCATGCAGGCCTTGGTTGTACGTATGACGGTACGAAACCCCAAAACAAAGCCCATAAGAGCATCCACACCAATATCTTTTCTTTTTTTTTATTATTAATTTTTTTTGTTTTTATTTTTTGCTTTTTAAAAATAAAAAATAAAATAGACCAATCGCGGGTCGCCACGTGTCGTGGAGTGATGAACTTCAGGAGAAAGGGGTTCACTAGAGAGAACTTCAGGAGAGAAGAGATTATCGAATTTTGTTATTTTAATATTTTTGTGTTGAAAAATGTGTGAACCCCCATCTAAACCTTTGATGGGGGTGCTCTAAGAATCACTACTTAGAAAATGAGAAACAAAATTTATGGTAAAATATGAAATATGGTAAATCATATTTGAAACTCATAGTAAGCACCAAGTCACCAACTCAGTTGTTCAAAGGAGACAACATTTTTCTGTTATGAATTTTCCTTCTATCGAATGTACCAAACCTATATACAAGACATGACCCATCAATTTTCGTTCTTTTGTCACTTTGGAATTTAGATATTCTAATTATTGCATAAACGGTAAACCTTGGGCAGATATTTTCATAAAGCCTCAAAATCATAATAGAACAAGAAACTAACTTCTCTGGTAGGCAATATTTGCAGTCAGAATATAGCAAGGACCAATACTGCAGTAATGAATAGTTTGTCGTAGAATAGCAACCAACTTTTTCAAAGTTGAAAAAAGCAGTAATAACCGCATTAAATTTAGTGAACCTACTAGTAGTACTTTTGCAGAGTTCACACGTAAAAGTAAGGAACGTATCTTACCTTTCTTTCATGTTTGAATTTCACTATGTAATTTGATTAATATAAGGTTAGTGTTCCATCAGAATTCTAAACCAAACATAAACCGGTTTAACAACACCAGCGATGTAAAGACGTTTCAATTTCCTGGTTTTACCAACCACTGCCGTGGGAAGTACACATTGTCCTAACCCTCACATAAACTGACACAAACAGCAAAATTCGAAATCTACAGCAACAAACTAAAACAGAGAGATCTAATACAAGAAGATAAACACTTAAACTATAAAGAACTGCAGGAAAAAAAAACGGAATAAACCAGGTTGCCTCCTAACAGAATTCATCTAATCCACTAGGCTCCACCAGCACATAGAGCGGCTTCCCTTTCAGCTTGTGTTGCCCCTACATCACAATTCAAAAATTCAAAAAATTTCAATAAATTAGAAGTCATATCCTTTCCAAAGAACAATAAACCAGAGATAACTTCTTGGACAAGTAAGAAGTATTGTGACTCACCTTGACTTCAGGCAATCCAATAACACAAGCACATTCCACAACTTCAGCTCCCTGGCTCTCTATTTAACAACATATCGTTGAAACATAACCTCTTCACATAACAAACCAAAGATAACTATGTTTATATTATAGTAAAAAAAAAAAAATACCCATAAGGCTAATGGCAGCAGAGAGTGTGCCGCCAGTAGCAACAAGATCGTCGATAATAATGACGCGTTCTAGTGGCTCAACGGCGTCAACATGCATCTCTAAACGGTCATGTCCATACTCAAGCTCATAAGACTCTGATATCACTTTTCCTATAATCAAATTTTTACCCTTTTCATAAGCTCAAGAGTCCATGATCAACAATTAAAAAACACAAAGAATGAAAGTGAAAATGTTAATTGTACCTGGTAATTTGCCAGGTTTACGCAGAGGGACAAACTTTGCGCCTATGGCTAAGGCAATGGATGGACCGAACATGAAGCCTCTTGCTTCAACTCCTATACAACATACAAATCATTTGCATGTAATCTAAATTCTTTATGGAGAAAAAAGACAATAATGATTTATCCTTTTTTTTTAACTAATTATTGCTTTATGAGGTAAGCCCATTTTCGAAAGACGTCGAGTTTCTTTTGGCTTTATTTAACAAACTTGATGACGAAACACTGTAGAGAAAATAAAATAAAATAAAATAAAAATAAAGAAGAAGATAAAACAGAGGAGTTTTTTTTTTTTTACCAGCAACAACAGAGATTTGCATGTCTTTGTATCGATCTACAAAGATATCAATTGTATGTTTAAACGCCTTGTGATCTAACAACAACGTTGTTATGTCCTGAAACATAATCCCTGTCCGAGAGAAACATAATCAGACAAAACACCAAGTGTGTCGTGAAAACGAAACAGAAGGAAGGTAGAAGTTTTTTTTAAAGACCTTTCTTGGGGAAATTAGGAACAACTCTAATAGCTGCTGATATAGCTTCAAGCCTTGGATCACCTTTGAGACCGTTCTCCGCAGCAAACATCGTTTCTCTCTTTCACTCTCTAGTTTTTGAAAAATCTTGAAAGAGTCAAGAGAGTGTCTTGAAAGTATATTTAACCTCTCTGTCTCTCCTCTCTTGGTGAGTAAATGGGAGAATCCAAAGTCGAAAACAATTAAATTTCTCTCGCAAAAGAAGGAAACGAGGTCAGATTCTCTCTCTCTATCTATCTATCTCTTCTCTGTGTATGTGTCTCGCTCTGTTCCTCTGTTCACCACCAGTTGTAAGTTTTGTAGAAGAAAGTGGGTGAGAGAGCATTAAATATTTGTAAATAGAGAGACAGAAGAGCGCGTGGAGTGTGTTATGTTATATACCCACGCGCGAAGCACACAGGATTAGTGAACCGCAATAAAAATCACAATCACAAGGGTAGTAGTAGTGGTAGTAGTAGCAAGTAGCGTGGATTAAAAAGAGAGGGAAAATCTTATTGATCTTCGAGAGAATCTTTGGCTTTTATAGTCTCTTCTTCACTCTACAGGGTGCCGAAGGAAAGAGACCTATAAAGTAGAGAGAGAGAGATTCGATACTCTGCCTGTAAAAGAGAAAACCATTTCTATAAAAAGAAGTACCCATTCTCCTAGAACCAGTTCACATTCCATGTTGTGTGTGTCCTGTCTCCCCAGCGCCATTAACACCTCTCTCTTATTGTTGATCCCCGGAAACATTTACAATAAGATGGATTTATTATCAAAATTTATATTTTAAAGTTAGGAAAATTATGTTTTAGCAGATAATGAAATTTTCATAAAGAAAAAGGAATGTTGAGTTTTTTTTCTTTGAAATTACATAAATACAAGTATAAGAGATTGTAATTTATTTAATTCACACAATCAATACACAAACTCTAATCTAAATATCTACCTCAGTCGGATTTCATTCTTCTATTTATTTTTGTTTTTTCTTTTTAATTTGTTTGGTATTTGTTTACAACTTTTGTTTAACAATTTACAACTTGTGTAGTGCAAATTGTAATGTAATAACATATATTCTCTCTATTTGTCATTTTAGTTTTTTACACATAGATTAAGAAAACATTAATTTTTTTCATATTTTACATACAAAAATACTATTACCAATAAACCTAACCACATTTTAGCCAATAAAAAAATAGGCTAACATATAAAGTTAATAAATTTTATTTTGAAATCATCAAACGCCTCTTATTTTGAAACAAAAAATTTCCTCTACAATGACTAATAAATTGAAACGAAAAAAATATGGCTAAGCATGGCAGATTGAAGTTATGCGGCCAGAAAACTGGATTTGAAAAAAATGAGTTTTTGTTCATTTCAACTAGGTATGGGGATTTGGATATTTGGTTCGGTTCCGGATAAGAACCATTCGGTTTCGGGTTATCGAATAAATCATTTTTATACCAATTAAGTACTTATGAGATTTCGGTTCGGTTTGGTTCCAAATAATCATTTAATATATAAATCAAATATATATATATAATATTAGTTAATATGTTAATTTAAATGGTTTAGTGTTTACACATTTACATATTAGTCAATCCAACAAGAATTCGAATCAATAAAGTATTAATTGTATAAATATTTATTATATTTTATTATAGAAATTCCATATATATTTATAATATAACAGAATAAATAAAACATAATATGGTCTGGTGGTAAAAATGTACTTATTCTTTGTATCTAATCTTGGTTCAAGTGGGCTTGATGTCATTTTATCTTTTTTTTTTTTTTAAAAAAGTTGTTTTTTCGGATATTCGGATACCCGGTCGATTCTCGGTTCGGTTCTGGTTCTGGTTCAGTTGTTTCGAGTATAGAAATATAGGAACCATTCGGATATTTAAGAATTTTGGTCCGATTTCAGTTTCGGGTATTTTGATTCGATTCCGGTTCAATTTTTCGGTTACGGTTTTTTGCCCAGACCTATTTTCAACCTAGAAATTGAATAGTCTCTTTAAGACGATGTTTAGCAAAAAATAAGAGGAAAATCTAGGAAATTGGTTCTAAAACCTGAAAAATATCCAGCCGTCATATTTACAACCGCAGAAAACCAGAAACACCAAAGACGAAAACAAACTGTAAATGAAATTTCTATCATTCATAACAGAAAATGTGTAAAAGTAGAAAAATTCTACCTTTCAAAAAGAGCATCTGGGTTGAGTTCGAATGAAAAACTCTAAAACACTATGCCATATCCTCTTTACAACATATTATCTAAAATATAACAAAGAAAATCGCTGATTAATCTTTCACTTTATTACCAATTTGTAATTTGCCACTAAGTCCAATCCAACTGCACATGTTACGTATCATCGTTTCTTTTTTTCTCTCTTAGATTTATCTTCATAGTTGTGGATATGCTACAAATGTTTGTGTAAATACGAATACTACCTTTCTAAACTGCGTATCAGCGTATGTAACAATTATCTAGTAAGGACGGATTCTTATGTGAAACCAAAGCGTAAGTAAGTAAAGCACTTGAGTACAGAAACCACCAAATATATATATACTATCATCAGCAAAGCGCCAATATGCGCCCATATTTGAGTGGGACATGCTAACTATATACAAAATTCATTTTGGTGTGGTACAGAAGTTAGTTTTGAATTCAACTTGCGATATGATTAACTCTAGTTTTATTCAACTATATCTTCTCATCCGAAATATGTATGCAACGCTCATCAACTTACTAAAGTAGACAGAGAAACTTGTAAAAATATTTATAAAAAATACTATATAGTTGATTATCATAAAACTTGTTAATTGAATAGTATATAATTGTAATATGTTATAAATATGTGAAAACGTACAAAAAGCTATTGATGGATGAATATAATATTTCAGGTGGATGATCCTCTAATGCGAATCAAAACCACGTAATTATAGTTCAATAGAAACTAGAAATCCAAATAACGAATGTATATTGGTTACAACTTTGTTCGAAAGAAGCGTTCCCGATTTTTTTTTTGAATAAAAACAATATGAAAAGACTACACAAGCTACCAAACAAACAGTCCTAACAACTTTGTTACAATTTAATACCAACCACCGAATCTTATATCCAACAAAAACAAACCCTACAAACATGAATAGATGACATGCTTGTAAGGTTTTAGCACAACAAAAAAGGTCACCATCCAGTTTCACACAACTAGCTCTAATAGCTAAGATTGCATATAGTGAGAAAAAAAACGGACAACTCTCGAATATAAAGAAGTGTGAGTAAATACGTAACCCTCAATTTTTCCTTCAAAGATGACGACATCCTCATTCCTTTGTCATTTTCGTTCTCTGCACCAAAGAAAAGGCTCAAAACTTTCAAATTATTCCTGCATTGTACTTGAGCATTACCATTAAACCCACATAAACCAAATTCCATTTTAAATCAAGTTTAATATATGCTACATCACACCAGATTTATTTATAGAAAGTGAATAACATTAATTTGCAAATACACTTTGTTTTCTCAAATGCTTTGCCTCTAATCTATACTATTAAAGCTGAAGTACAAAAAAATAGTGTTTGGAAACATGAATAGGTATATAAAATTATAATGATTGGAAACAAGGATAGCCTACAAATTTAATGGGCTTATTTATTAAACTAAAGATTACTGCGGCCCAAAGTATCATTATTATTGTTTTTGGGTTTCTATCATTGATATTACTTTATTTCTGAAAATTATTTATACATATATGTATTCATGTTTTAAATGTATTTAAAATAAATCAAGAATAATATATATTTTATTTATATAATTTATATTGACTATTGTTATAAATTTTTAACAGTGATATACTAGTCCTTCAATTCTTCATGAAAACATTGACTTAAAAATTTGAATAAATTGTTTAATGTATATAACTTTGCACCAAATTTAGCAAAAAAAAAATTTATAAACTATTAATAAAATGTTTACGGGTCATAATATTTTACGATGCCCCTGTTACACAATACAGTGATGAAATACAATGTTTAAATAATGTACTATTACTTAGTCAAATTGGAACCATTAGATTGTAATTTTTGAAATGTTTATATATACCATAAAAACAAATACCCGTCCAGTCGGGCGGGTTATGATCTAGTATTGTATTATTATTATTGTTTTGGACTTTTTCTAAGATCACAAGAAGCGTTATTCTAACCACGTAGGTGCATTTCTATTTCGAAATCTAATAAGTTACTTCATGGCCCCTGTTAGAAGGTTATCAGTCTTGCTCCAATGCATTAAGCCAATTAATTTGAAACCCTACAGATCCAATTTTTTTTTCTATTTAGAGATCAGTCGTTTGTCTCTATGTTTTCATTTCGAGAAATTCTTTGCATGGCACCACTGATTTGTTTTCGATTTGAGATTTTTCTGAAGCAGCCTCTAGTATTGTATTCTTGTCACAAAACACTCTAAAACATATATTTTGTAAGCTTTCAATACATACAGATTTGTCTACTGATGTCCTGTTCTAAGTACGTAATTATACTTTTCTTTGACTGATATATTTAGAGACTATATAATCACATTCTAAAGTATAATTTTGAGATAAGATTTAAATTTGAAAGAGATTTTTCAGCATGCTAAAAAGAAGCAACGTAAGCATCTATCTATTTTGTTATAGAAAAAGAAAACAAAAAGCTATTGTATTGTTCAAGGGCAAATGATCCTCGTACCGAGAAACCCACCACAAAGCTTATCGGGTATCATAAAGAAAATCGAAGTCTAGATATAGAAAATCAATAAAGTGACAATTTCGAGGAGATATCCCAAATCTTGGTGTCTAACTTTATAGTTTTATAATCAAACAATCAATAATGAAACTTACAATTAGTCCACTTTAATCTGGCTCTTGATAAGTTGCAAAGGGGCTATTCCAACTTCATTATGAGCGTGTTGACACTTTTCATGTTATTACTTCGATTTCTTTTTTGAACTTTTAATTAGGTCAGTCTTATGGCCTCATTTATTTTTAGAGATCGAAAAGATTATTGAATATAATTTAAAAAAATAAAAATAAGAATCCCATTTTCCGCCAGAATTTTAAGAATCTAATTAAATTTTGGTTTATTGCGGTTTCAGAAAAATTTAAACTAATGTATTGTATATTAGTGTAAAATGATGAAGCTGTGTGTAAAGCACATGTATTTTTCACCAAAGAGACCAAGCCCATCATTCCGGTTAGAATACGGCCTCATAGACATGCAAAATTCAACGAGTGAAAGTTTTTTCTTTTTTTTTTGTCGTCAAATGAATTGTTAGGAATTTAATCAATTAGTTGAATGCACCTAAATATTAACTTACTGTAACTATCTCAAACAACTCAAAAGATTATAAGAGAAACAAGCCAAGACATTTTAGAAGCCAAGACATTTCTTTCTAAAAATTGCTGTTAATGATACTTTGAAACTTACGAGGTAGATTCCATGAAAAACTCCTTGAAAGACGAATCCTGACCTGACAACATAAAGTATCATACTCGCTTCTAAAGAAACATCTTTGTTCCAAACCTACCAGCTCTCCCGACCTACACCATGACCAGTATGTGCTTATAATTTTATAAATAAGAATACTTACCATGTGAAGGTATGTATCGGCAGAGTCTGGCATGTCATAGTTGATGACAGTGTTGACTCGCTCAATGTCAATTCCTCTCCCTACCAAGTCTGTCGCCACAAGAATTCTCTTGTGCCCTTCCTCGAAGCTTTTGTAGTGAGTCAGCCTACATATCATATGACATTGAAGGATTAAGAGTTGGTATTCATGAGGAGATGCTTTAAGAGCAAGTCAGATTGGTTCAAAAGAATCAATGTAATGAGGAATATACAAACCTCTCTTCCTGAGAAATGCCAGAGTGAATGCATATTGAGGGGACATTTAACTTGACGCGTTTAGTTAACTTGCGATTTTTTCTCCATCTCGCTCAGTTTGATGTAGTTCTGTAACAATCACAGGACAAATAAACAAACCAAATTAGATCTCGAGATCGATTAGGGTTGAGATTAGGCCTGGCATTCAGGTGGCCCTTCTACTATCCATTGGGATATTAGTTTAGTATTACAAAAAACCAGGTTGGTTTGTGTCGGAACCTACCGGATCCTGATGAGTTCAGGTTTTATCCGAAATAACCGAACCATTCGATTCAGCCCATATATTTTATATTCGAACTACTCAAATTTATCTAAAATAATTTAAAAATCTGAAAATATTCAGTTTATATAGTTTAAATTGATTATTTTTGTCGAAAATAACCATATATAACATTATTTAAGTATTTTTTTTATCCAAAACATCTATTTTTATCTATAAATATCTAAAATAACAAATATATTTGATTTATAATTTTAATTTTAAGTATTAATACTATTATAAGTATAATTAAAAACAATATTTTATACATATATTTATATATTTGGATACTATTTCCGGTACTGTCCGGGTTCGGTATTAGTTTTTCGGGTTTCTGAAAAATGATCTGTTCGAATATTTAGGTAAGATCCGACTGGATCGGGTATCCTATTTTTTCGGGTCAATTCGGATAAAGATTTCCGGATATTATGCCAAGCCCTGAATCGAGCTTAATGGGCCTACAATTAAAAGAATCAGGCTTGTAAGCCGATGTTATTAATTGACTTGAATTTCTAGTAATGGTGTCATAAGCCCATAAAAGAAAAGCCCAATATTGACTGTTGCTAATAAATATCTCACTTTGGGGTCGCCACCGTAGCTCTGATATTTTCCTACTCTGCAATCGGGAATTTGGAAACCCTAAATTCGATCTTCAGATCTAATCAACTCTTCGCTCAGGTATCTTTAGTTCATCAATGTTTAGGGTTTTAGTGACGCTATTTGCATATACGCTTTCTCATTGAATCTAAAGTTTTGTGCTTTGGGATTACGAAGCTTATCTGATTTTTAAATTTTTTTTGAACTTGTGAAGAATGGAAGATCCTAGAGACAACGAAGCTTACGAGGAGGAGCTTCTAGACTATGAGGAAGAGGACGAGAAAGCCCCAGATTCCGCAACTAAAGTTAACGGCGACGCCGTTAAGAAGTGAGTTTTTTTTTCCGATCTGTTTCGTGAGAACACTGGCTGATTAGATTTGAGATTAAGAAGGTTTCCTTACTTGTTTGCTTATGAAAGTAGTAATTTTTAAGTTCTATAGTTAATTAATTACTGGAAATTAATAGTTTTGTTTTTATCTTTGTGGCAGAGGTTATGTGGGGATACACAGCTCTGGATTTAGAGACTTCCTTTTGAAGCCGGAGCTTCTCCGAGCTATTGTTGACTCTGGATTTGAACATCCATCTGAAGGCAAGTGTACCTTTCACTCCGTCCCTTTGACTTGTTTTATTGCCCTTTCACCATTTGATGTTGACTTAAATAGCATAGAATAAAAACACAACTTCGTCCCTATTGTTCCTTTGCCTAATATGATGATATGAGCAGTCTATTTTTGTTCATTGGTTGTTAAACTCACTAAGTTTTGGAACAAAGACGTTTTGGGCTGATATTATTGCTTGGTATTTACTTTCTTCTGTTATAATTTCTACTATGCTCATTGACATTTCACGTATTTCGTTTTTCCAGGTAAAAAAATGATATTTTCAATCTATTGATTTGGAGTGTGCTTGGCATTTGGTAAAGCCACCAATTATAAAGATACGGAGGTTATATTCTACTTATGAACGGTCCCTTTGGTGCATTTTTCTTTGGTTCTCCATCAGTGCAACACGAATGTATCCCTCAAGCTATCTTGGGTATGGACGTTATCTGCCAAGCTAAATCTGGTATGGGGAAGACTGCTGTCTTTGTCCTTTCGACTCTGCAACAGATCGAGCCATCTCCTGGCCAGGTGTCTGCACTTATCCTGTGCCATACAAGAGAGCTGGCTTACCAGGTATGTCTTTCTTGATTCCTTAATGAGTCCTCTCTGCTCTCTGTCCCCAAGTTCGCTTATCATACCTTGATGTTATAAATACTTGCAGATCTGCAATGAGTTTGTGCGATTCAGTACCTATCTCCCTGATACTAAGGTTTCAGTGTTCTATGGAGGAGTCAATAATAAAATTCACAAAGATTTGCTGAAGAATGAATGTCCTCACATTGTTGTTGGAACACCTGGTCGTGTGCTTGGACTCGCCCGGGACAAAGATCTCTCTTTGAAGAATGTGAGGCATTTTATTCTTGACGAGTGTGATAAAATGCTCGAGTCCCTTGGTATGTTGATCTCTTACATCCTTGTGTTTGAAAGATATCTCATCTATCCCTGAAAAATTGTCTGTTTTAACATATCTAACTCTTCTTTATCAGACATGCGGAGGGATGTGCAGGAGATTTTCAAGATGACTCCTCACGACAAACAAGTTATGATGTTCTCAGCAACGCTCAGCAAAGAGATACGCCCAGTCTGCAAGAAATTTATGCAAGATGTAATGTCCTACAGCCAACACTATCTCGGTTTGCAAGTCTTGTAGTCTTAAATTATTTCTAGCCTTCTTTGGGACTTGGGAGATTTCTGGTTTATTTTGAGGATCTTGCCCGGGAAACACGGCATTTGATCCCTCGACACAGTGTCTTAATCCAAAATGCCTTGGGTAGTATATTGGGGTTTGGAGATAGTATGACTCTGAAGATGTCACTTAGCTTTAGCGTGGTTCAGTGATGTCTGTGTGCAGAGATGTTTACAAGTCCTGTAGTCTTGGCATTTGATCCCTGAACGCAGTGTCTCCATCTGAAAAGCCTTGGGTAAGATATTAGGGTTTGGAAAATTGGGAGACTCTGAAGATGTCATTTAGCTTTTGAGTTGTTCAGCGGTGCAGTTCGATCTTCTATCATCATTTTCTTTTTCAATATCTTGCCATGGTAACAGTACTGGGTGGGTTTTGAGTCGCAGTGTAGTTAGGTCTCAAGGTTTCATCATGGCACATTTTTGAGGTCGCAAACCTGGTTGACGAGGATCTCAGTTTGGGGGTCCTTCATTCGTCGCCAATTTTTATAATGGAAATCACCGCCTGAGGAAGGCTTGCTAATATATTAACTCTGATATATGTTCCTTTCAGCCAATGGAGATATATGTTGATGATGAAGCCAAATTGACTCTTCATGGGCTTGTCCAGGTAATTTGACTTGTGTGATTTTTTATTCCTTTACGTATTGGTAATTGGTTTATATTTTGTTTTTAATTGTTCAACATTGTTTGTGTGTCCTGTGATTGTTACAGCACTACATTAAACTGAGCGAGATGGAGAAAAACCGCAAGTTGAATGACCTTCTTGACGCATTGGACTTCAATCAAGTTGTCATATTTGTGAAGAGCGTTAGCAGAGCTGGGGAGCTGAACAAGTTGCTTATCGAATGCAATTTCCCCTCAATATGCATTCACTCTGGCATGTCTCAAGAAGAGAGGTTTGTATATCTCTCAAAATATTATATCTTCTGAGCCAACCTCTCTTGCTCTTAAAACCTCTCTGCATGGATACCAACTCTTAATCGTACACTATGATATGATATGTAGGCTGACTCACTACAAAAGCTTCAAGGAAGGGCACAAGAGAATTCTTGTGGCGACAGACTTGGTAGGGAGAGGAATTGACATTGAGCGAGTCAACATTGTCATCAACTATGACATGCCAGACTCTGCTGATACATACCTTCACAGGGTAAATATTCTTATTTATAAAATTATTGATTCTCATGAGGAAACATCTTATATAAGCGCACACTGGTCATGTTATAGGTGGGGAGAGCTGGTAGGTTTGGAACAAAGGGTCTTGCAATAACATTTGTGGCATCGGCTTCAGACTCGGAAGTTCTTAACCAGGTCTGGAGTTTTGATCTTTCTCACAAGTCCGTCTAGCTTTGAACTGATACATAAGCTTAGAGTATCTAATGGAGTTGTAATTTCATTTGTTTAACAGGTACAAGACAGATTTGAGGTTGATATTAAGGAACTTCCTGAGCAGATTGATACTTCCACATACAGTAAGCGTCTATCCATTTTACCAATGAAGCAAAACCTGTTTAGTTTTGTCTACCTGGTTTTGATATCTGATTTAATCCTCTTAATTTTTGCTCAGTGCCGTCTTAAAGCAGCATTGTCTCTCAGCAAGAACCTCTCCGGATTACAACTATCATCATCCCCTCTATGTTTTAGCCTTTTTCTGTGGACAAGTTTTTATTTAGACCGTTCGTAACTTTTCCAGAAGAGATAGAGTACTCTTCAAATTACATTGTTAAAGTTTGTCCTCTTTTGTAAAAGATATTTCTATGTTCTTTTATCTCATGGATTATATAGTCTTGGTGTTTAGTGGTAAGATCTTTTTTGAATCAATCTGAATATTATCATCAAGGTTACTTAAATACACGTTGTTGTATATAATAAATATGAAAAACTAGTAGTTATGTATTCACTTTTCACTATGCTGATTTTAGTCTTAACAGTGGTGTAGCCCTCCGAGTGGGTATAGACGTCGAGGTCAATTTCTTACGACGGAGCAAAGCTGTGTCTACGTCCACAATATGATGCTCATTGTCATCTGCTTCCTCTCCATCTACAACATGACCTTCTTCATTGACTTCATCTTGAGCTTCAGATTCGACCTCGTCCGCTTGTCTCTCTTTGCATCTCTTGCTACCCCACATGAGCAACAGCAGAATCACAGACACGACAAAGACCATCAGAAACAGAGCTCTAAAGCTGTGGTGATCGAGCTGGATTGGAGTATCCGTAGTGGTCGAATCCAGACAATGTCTCTCTCCATAAAACCACTTGTTCTCCATGGCTTTCATGGTCTCTCCCTCTGTTATGTTCAAGATCTGTCTTGAAATATCTGACACCAACGGAGATCCCAAAGGGAAAGCCTGTCAGAAAAACATGAAAGATTTAAACATACTTCCAACAAAAATAATTTATAAACAAACTGTTACTTACAAAGCCAAAGCCATCAGCCTTAAAGGTAGGTTCGATAATGGAATACTCTGAGCAATATTTAGCCATGAAAAGCTTGACATAAGGGACTTCATCGAAGGCAGCATCAATACCACCATTGCTACTCTTATTGAGAAAGAGCTCACGCATTTCTTGAGGAGAATCATAAGCCTTTAACCTCGATTCTTCATAGCCCATTAGTTTCAGTCTTTCAAATGTAAACGAACCAGATTGATATCCAACGTTAACTCCACTCTTCTTCAGATCATCCATGTGTCTCACTGTTGGTCTAAGCTCTTGAACCGTCAACATAGATGTTAGTGTTGCTGTGTAGCTCTGAGTCAGTATCAGCAACACAAAGCACCATACCACCACAAGAGCCCTTGTGAAAAAGCTCTCTGATGGCTTCCCTATAAATAATAGAAAATGTGATAATTAGTATTATGATGATAAGAAGCTTGATGAAGTTAAATGACAAGAATAAACTCACTGTGTGCAAAAAAGAGAGTAGAAAATGAGAAGTAGAACACATTAGATATCTTATCAGACATCTTATGTGTCTTGAAATCATCATCTGCATGGTACTCAAAAATCCAAACCATCATTCCAATGTAGAGAAAAGAAGCAGCAGTGAGCAACCATAGCTCCTTTGTTAAAGGCTTTAAGAACACCCATTCTCCTTTCTCTCTCTCATCCTTAACCGGCACCACAAATACAATACCAGTCTCTGAGTATGGCAATGCAAAATCAACATAACCAGACCGGTTAGCTAAGATTGTGGTATCACCTACTGCTCCATCATACTCCTGTTAAAAACAGTTATTATATTAAAACAAAAAAATATTAGGTTTCTTGAATGGTTTAGGGAGGATTCTAACTTACCCCAAGAAAGACTTTATAAACCATTTCGTCATAGTTTCCATCTGATTTTCCATCAGGAGTTTCAAAGGGTATGTAGTCAAAAGGGACATGATATGGCATTTGACTTATCACCTTGTCGAAAACATCTATGCAAAACCCACTGAATGCTGGAATATTAGTGTTTGCATCCTTTGTCACCTTCACAAATTGGTTGAAACCATCCTTCTTTGGAACTGCTATCCTCAGCTTCTTTGGACTAATTGGGTGTTCCCAACCTTTAGGCTCACCAATAGTATCCCCTGGCCATATTATCGGTCTAAGGGCACGTGAGCTCTGTGAAGCATTAACACTCTTCACTAATCCTACATTTGATTTCCAAAATCCAACCGTTCTTTCCCCACTTTCTTCTATATTGATTATCTTGAAGATAGTCGCCTCTAGCTTCCCTTGTTTTAGCTGAAATCTCCCGGCAACACCTTTGAAACTAACTGTTGATAACGCTTCAAGAAGCTTAGGACCAGAGAGAGAAGTACCAATATCATCAAGATCAGTCTCAATATCATCTCTTGACGTGTTCTTTTTGGTCCCACTGAAACTCATGTTGACGTCACTGATTTTCTCAACTGACTTAGCAAGTGCTGTGGCAGCATCATAAGCCCAACACTCAAAATGGTTTAGCTCTTCTCCAAATCTTTTTCGCCAACGAGTTTTGAGATACGTTAGCTCTTTTGATCTTGAGAAATATGTCTTGACACCCAAGACACCATGCATGTCTTCCACGCTTGATTCCTCCATTGAACTAATGAGATCACCTATACCATTTGTAACAATCCATACATATCCTGGTTCCATCATACCAATCTTTTTCGCTATCGAAAAAAGCCTCGACCCTAGATCAGGTAACATGTGCACGATGAAAACCCTAGTGGGCATGGTCTTTAGTTTCAAAAGCTCGTTCTCGATTTGATCATTAGAGGAATACAACGATATGGCGCAACGGTATCTAATACGAACGTTATTTTCTTGAAAAGCATCGACTAAGTAAGGAAGAATACCTTCTCCGAACTCATTGTCTACGTAAATAGGCACAGCTTCTCTCCATCTAAATGACTTTAAGATGGCGCTGATGGAGTGAACTTGAGCTGAATCGTCGTGTGCGGCTCTGATGAAATATGGACTACGTAGGGAATCAAGAAGAGGGCTTGTTGCGGAGAATGAAATTATGGGAACTTGAGATTGGTTTCCGAGGTTGATTATAAATGGAGCATGCATTGAGTTCCCCGGTCCAAGAATAGCTACCACTTCCCTCTTCTTGATCAAGTATAAAGCTGCAAAGGTTAACAGTAACATTCACATTAATATGATTAATTTCCTTTTAAACTATGTGTTTTTAGTTTTAAATTTTTAGTATTGTTAGGGAACTCTTTTAGGTGCCAACGTTTCCAACTTCCATCTCTTTTGGGTGTTCAATGATTTGAATATAAGTAGAATTGCAGATGGAAGTGTCATGTATGCATGGAATGTTATGTAGATCTGAGATTTGATCCAGGACCCAATCCAATATGCGCCTTATGCATGCATGATTTAGATCTATCAAAAGACTATGACTAATTTTATTTTTTTTCAGCTTAGACTATAAATAATTGACTATAAAATATCTACATTTAAGAGATAGTTGACTATTACATTATATATTAGATTAGTCATGTAGAGTTGTGTACTCAAAAAGAAGTTTGAGAGATCTAGAGAATCTCTATCGAAAGAACTAGTCCTTTGTATCATTTGATATCTTTCACGCGTCAAATGTACGTAGGACTTTCAAATCGGGACATTGGGACCAATCTCCTTTAACCGCCCCGCTAGTTTTTCTAAATAATGTTTTAGTAATATAAAATTGTTTCTTTTTTGATAAATTCTGTTATTACCTATATTATGTTATTTATTTTTTATAAGTTCTACCGGGATACTGTCAGTTAAAATTGTTACGTATAAAATACATGAAAAGAGTTAAAAAGAACAAAATAACATAATAATTATAATATATACATATATATAATAATTATAAGGACATAATTTATTTTGTATAATTTTTAATATAGTAAATATATACTCCGTATCAACTCTCATACATGATCCATGAAGATTCACAACAAAGGATTGAGTACCTGAAGCTGCAGCACCAACAACAGTTTGTTTGGAGTCTCGAATGTGGAGGACAATCCTTGTCTTGAAGTCTTTATTAGTCTTATAAAATTCCGAGAGAGACATGTTGATAGCTCGCAAGCTCAAATCTGCAAGTGTTACATTGGTGTTTAGAACAACTCCCACTTTAACTTGCAAAGCTTCCTTCTGCGCTTTCCCGTATAAAATTAAGAAGATGAGGAAAATGAAAAAACGTAAAGGAGAAAGATGAGACACAAGATTATGGGGAGAAGAAGACATAGTGATGACGAGCTATCACAACTACAAGAAGAGAGACGGGTCAAATAAATGGATAGTTTTAAAGAAGAGAATCATCAAACTTTGTTAAATAAGTGTCGGAGTTTACAAGTCGACTATTATTTAAATAGATAGCTTAGAGATAATAGTAATACAAAAATAATGTAGAGAAGACTTATTTTGGTCAATATGGATTAGTTAACGCGTTGCCCAAGTGAGGCAAAGAAGTGGTCTTCTATACACAAATTATCATTTGTGGATTAGCGTGATTAAAGGAGAGACCATTTGGTGCAATACTTGTTTATACTTGGTTTGTTGAGTGGGTTTGTAGATTTTGTTAAGATCTCTAGAAGTGACCTCTTGTCATTTTTTGATTAAGTGATGGTGAAATTTTGTTTACATTGATCAAAGCAGTAAGCTTGAGTCAGATCAAAGCAGATTCTATATTTAATTGTCTAACAAGTAACAACAGAAGAAAGAATGTTCACTTTAGCAAATTCCTAGAGAGAAGATTGTGCTGTAAATGTTGATGCTTGAGATATGCAGCAGTTCCAAGATATACAAGAACAATTCAATAGCTAAATCTACTTATGTTAGCTAGCATTTTTAAATTTGAACATTTGATGATAGCAAAACCATTTTTAGAGTAGTAATTTTCATAGTAAATATATCTAATCCAATGGTTTATCGTACCAAACATATGAGAAAAAAAGAGAAAATGATTAGAATAGACCTAAAAAAGTTTTTATTACAAATATAGATCTCAACAATTAAAATAACCAAAATAGCACTTAAATGTTTTATTAAATATACATTTATACCTCTTGGGTTAACTAATCCTATATTTTTTTTTTTAGAGTTGAGGAGTGTGGTTTTGGAGATAGGGTTTCAAATTTAAAAAAATTAAAAAAAAACTTAAAAATTTTAAAATAAAAGTGCTATTTTAGTCATTTTAATTTTTGAGGTCTATTTCTGTGATAAAAACTTAAAAAATGGCTATTTGAGAGAATTGCCCGAAAAAGAATGAGAATGTCTCAACAAGACCCACACAGCTTACAAGTCTCTCCTATGACACCATGGAAACATAAGCAAGAGAAGTACAAGAGAAAGAAAAAAAACATCATTTTAGGTGTCTTCTTTGTTGTGTCTCTTCAAGAACATTGTCTCTCTTGTTGCTGTTTCTTCTTCTCCAACTCCTCAATCTCCGTACGCAGTGCATCATTCTCAAGCTTACACCTCTCTCGATTGGCTAATATCTGCTGCAGATCATTGATTTGCTCAGTTTAGGAGCTTGTAGCACCATTGTATCAACTGTCTCAGGTTCACTCTCCTACAACATTGCGGCAACAGAAGGTATAGAGTCCTGATGATGAGTGGGTTTGGTTTGAGTTGTCGTCGTAGCTTCCAAAAGAGTCTCTTTTGCGCTTGCGTTCGTATTGTACCAAAGGAAGTGGAGCTTCTTTGTTGAGGACACAGGGAAGAAGACATGCATCGTGAGTATCCATCTCAAACTCTCTAGGGAGCTCGTTGAGGTCAAAGAGGTTATTGCTCCGTGAGTGGCTCTCCTACATAATAACATCAACAGTTAACAGTAAATATAAAACACACATAAGATGCATATACAGCTTTTAGAGTATTGATGAGAAGCACAAACCTGCTGAAGCTTCTCACTTATGTTTCTACTATTGTGGGACAATTTGCACAACACGTACGAATCTGTCTGCAAACAATAAACGTGAGTCACAAGGTACCAATAAAGAGATTATCAAATCCACTGATCTAGAGTGTATGTATCAAGAATATACACACCTTATAGCCATGGCCATCATTGTCTACGAGGTGATACTCATAAATCACCCAATTTGTTGGTTGATTATTTGGAGTATTAAACACAAGCCTCTTGATCTTACCAATCACCTCACCGTCTCCTCTTCGCTTGACTTCCTTGTCTTGTCCTCTTTGGTGCCAATAGCGATGGCCATCATTGTCTACGTACTTTTCTAGAGTAGTGAAGAAGAACCCTTCTTGGTCCTTTGACTTCAGCCTCGATTGTTCTGAAACCCAAAACAGTACTCAAAAGAGTTAACAAACTACTACATAACTCAAAAGCCAAGAAACAGAGGAAGAAGAGGTTCAAGAAACCTAGTAAGTGAGAGAGGTCTTCTTGCTTGTAAACATCGACTTCCTCAATCGCATTAAGAACCAAGGGTCTGCCCTGAACTTTCCTCTTTAAGTAGCTAATGAGTTCTTCATCGCTTGGATTAAATCCGAAATAAGGAGCGTTCTGTGTCTCCGACGCTGGCAAAAACCGATCGGTCATGAAGTCGCGGGACGCTAACAAGAAAATGTACCTCTCTCTCTAGCTTACTCGAGTAGAGACGAACAGAAAAGAAAAGTTGAAAGATGGGTTTTAGATTTAAGGGATGTGAAGGAACAATGAGAAGCTCAAGAAAAGGGTAGCTTGTAACGCAAGAAAGTTTGTTTCTTTCGCAGACTTTTATAAACGACAGCATTTCGTTTTTTTTTTTAACTACATATTGTTTTGGGAAGTAAATAAAATATTCTTACTGTAAAGGTAAAGACTTTTCTACCGTTTGCACAGCCAACAGGAGGAAAACAGAGCCTGGGTTTACCAATCATCCTCCTCTCCATCTTTCTGGATTTATTGTTTTTAAATTTACAAAAACATATATTTTATGATTTTTTTTTGCGGCATTTTATGATTTTTTTTTGTTTTCTAATAGTTAGATTTTGATTTTTTAAAAAATTTATAGTTTTGTATGAATTTAAATTGTAACTAATTGAGTAAGTTTTAGTTAACTTCCGGTCAAATCCTAATCCTTGAGCCCAGATTGTTCTGGCACACAACAGATAACTTTTCTTGTATAAGCCCAATAAAGGTTTTGTAAGGCCCATTACTACCCTTTTATTTCCTACTTTTTTAATTATTACAGTTGATAATTTGACTACCCGTTTACCGTTTTAGAATAACAGAAAAAGGAAAAACCTCACAAAAGCCCTAATCTCACTCATCTCTCTTCCTTCCGCCTACAGAGTAGAGTCACTCCTGTGTGGAATCTGAAGAAAGGTTTTGTAAAGCTTCTTTCTCCGTCTCCCTTCATTGGTCCGTGTGAACTGTTTAGCTGCTTGTCCCTTTAATATAGTTATTCGTTAAAAAACTAAAGTTTAGTTTTAATGATGTTTGGTTATGTAATTGATTGTCTGCTTGAAAACAATGTCAGGGAAATATGAATTTGGTGAACATCAAGGATGTGTTGACTTCTTTTAGTCCTGCTCTAGATTATCTTGCTCTTAGCACTGGAGATGGCCGTATCAAGGTACCCTTCAGTTTAACTGTTTGGTTTGAAAGGAAATAACTTTTAATGTATTTTCTTTTGTCTTTGTGTAGATTTGGGATACGGTCAAGGGCCAGGTTCAGACAGAGTTTGCTGATATTGCATCTGCAGAAGAGACTAACATTTATACCAATGGTGGGAAAGGTCACCTCTCTGTTGATTATACCTGCATGAAGTGGTTGTCTCTAGAGAGAAAGGTTAACAGACTTACCTTGCGGTGTAGATCAAAGTTTGTTGTTTCTTGTTGACAAATAAGGCTTGGTTCTTGTTATTTGCAGAAGAAGAGAAAGCTTGGAACTTCCATATTGGTATTAGGAACTGGTGGAGGGGATGTTTTAGCACTTGATGTTGCTTCTGGTCAGCTTAAATGGAGAATTAGTGACTGTCATCCCGGGTGAGTAACTCTCCCTTCACTTCTTCTTGGCTATCATTTGTTTATAGATTATTATCAGTTAAGTAACTGATCTATCTGTAATCTTGGCATTCCTTTTATTTGATTATCCGCTAGTTAGTTGCTCACTTTTCACTTAGCAAATTTTTAACTTTGAACCTCCAGAGATTTTGGGAATTTACTGATGTGTTTCTTGTCTCTTGTGCAGTGGCGTGAATGCTGTTTCATCTTCTACAAAGGCATCCTGCATATACAGCGGTGGAGCAGATGGGATGGTGTGTGAAATTGATCCCAATAGTGGAAATCTGATCAGAAAGTTCAAAGCTTCAACAAAAGCAGTTTCTTCTTTATCTGTTTCACCAGGTGTGTCTCTTGAATGTGCTTTCATTGGTTTCTTCAAATACATTTTGTCTGGTCTAAGAAGACACTTTGAAGTAAATAAGCATAGACTACAACATGTACGTACCTGCTGATGATGTTTTCTCCCAATTGTAGATGGAAAAATATTAGCCACTGCATCTGCTCAGTTGAAGACTTTTAATTGCTCTGATCTCAAGAAAATACACAAGTTTACTGGTCATCCTGTGAGTACCTATATTATTTATTTTTTTGTGGTAGGAGGCTGCCTCTATTTTAAACATTGGAAGGTTGTTTACAGTTTTTAATGTTATAAAGGGAGGTGTGCGTTGTGTTGCTTTCACCGAAGATGGGAAGTACGTTCTTTCATCTGCAGTTGGTGAAAGATATATTGCAGTGTGGAAAACAGATGGTGCTAAGAAGCAGTCAGCCAGCTGTGTCCTTGCCTTAGAGCACCCTCCCGTCTTTGTGGATAGTTGGGGTGAAACTGATAAAATGGGGCTATATGTTTTAGCAATTTCGGAAGTAGGTGTCTGTTATTTTTGGTATGGTTCAAATGTTGAGGAGCTAGGCAATGCCAAACCTACAAAAGTCTCATTAGCAACTGAAGATTCTTCGCTTAAACAACAACACAAGGGGTCGTTGCCTGTAATCTTTGCTGCAAAATTGCAAGGAGTTTTGAAGCCTGGTTCTGCCAATGCATTTATTGCTTCTGGATTGCTGGTTAAACCATCATTCCAGAAAATGTTGTTACAGTTTGGCAACGACCTGGTGCTAAATGCCTCTAAGAATGGCGTCCTTCTCCCCATCACCCAGTCAGTTTCCAAGTCCAAGAAGGGACAAGGCGTGCAGAATAAAGGTAGGCCCTGCCCTTTACTAAATCATGAAACTTTCTTCAACAAATTGATTAGACTGCATACTTTTTTTTTCATTGTGTTGTGAGCATCACACTGGCTAGTTTATGTCAAGATTCTGATTAGTGTCAGCTGCTTAACAATAACCAACATCATGTTAGCTAGACTCAATACATTTCCTTATTATGTGGAGCTGATTTTTGACGTTGATGCTGCCTGGTGTATTGCAGTTTCTATTTCGGTTCCTTTCCTGTCAATAATAAGCTGACTATGATTTTGTATTTGTATAGTTACAACGTTAGACCGCGCACATGCGGAGGATGCTTTGCTGCCTATCGCAAGAGTTGCTGATCTGCAAGAGAAAAAGAGTGTACAACCACACTCATCTGATAAGGATACAGACATGATTGAGCAAAGTCAAGCGGGTAAGTTTTACATCACGGTTCAGACCTCTCACTCACACAATCATCGTGTAGTGATGGATATCGTTTTGTTCTTTTGATTCGTTTAGTATTTATATAAATGCAGATGTTTCAGTTCAAATAGTGCGCTGGCCTTTTTGTTCATTATTTTTATAATTTGAAGTTTCAGATTATGTAGAAACATTTAGCATGGAGGATAAGCTGAGATCATTAGGGATACTTAAAGGTACAAATGAACCAAGCAATCTCTCCTATGCGTCAGCAATTGATGGAATTGATCTTGAGGCTTATCTACCACCAAAGAAGGTATGTTTGCTTTCTTGTTCATCGGTGATTTGGCATATATGTACATTCTTCTGACGCATTTCTGTAGATTTTTCTTGAAATCTACCAATCGTAGTAGTCATATAAAGTTTTGTATTGACAGTTGAAGTCTGCTGTTTTGTCAATGGAACCCTCCACTGCATTCAAGACTCTAGAAGCTCTGGCTTCCATGTGGCAGACGAGGTTAGTTCTCTCTGCTTTACTCGTTTCCAATTCACAAGTCGTCTTATCTATGCACACTGTTCAAAATTCGGATTCTTACGTTTTATCTTTGGCTAATGATAATTAATTTGAGATTCTTGACTCTCTGGTCTTATTAACACAGTTGCATTTGTTTTGAACAGGGGATGTGGTGGTAGGTATCTTCTTCCATGGATATACAGCATAATGGTGACTCATAGTCATTATATCATGTCCCGAGAACCCAAAAACCATCAATTGCTTAGTATATTGCATAAGGTAAAGAGATATAGATGTAGAGCCAAGGATTTTTTGTCAGTCTTGTAAAATTTGGTTGGTTTAATATGTTAATACTGTTCTCCCAGATTACAAAGTCCCGAACAATAGCCCTTCAACAGTTACTACAGTTATCTGGCCGCCTACAACTTGTTACAGCTCAGGTTATTACATATCAATTATCTTAATTAATAATTGTTGAAGTCATATGGCTATTTAGTTTCATTAACACCTTTCTCTTATGGCACAGATCAATAAAGCTGTAGGGAATGAAACTCAAACAAGGGTTCATGAGCAAGAGATTGATGATGAAAGTGAAGATGAGGAGGAAGATGTAGAAGAGCATTTCTATGGTGAGAATGACAATGAATCCGAATTAAGCAGCGACGAAGGAGAGGATAAAGGTAAATGACTTTTGTTTCGTTTGTTTGCATTTTGGTTTGTGGAGTTAATATATATTTTATCATTTCTTTTACTTTCAGATGATACCTTGATGGAAGAGATATAAAAGCTTATACTGAGTGAAGAGAAGAGAATGAAGCTTTTTGACTCTTATCCTCACAATTTTGTCTTTTTGAATTATTCCTCAGAATCTTGTCCTGGTTAGTATCTGTATTTCTGAGCCAAAGAGAATGTGTCGACATAACAACACTTCTCTTATAATTGACTTGAGCAAACCTCAATGAAACAAGAATTAAGAAAATTTAGAGACCTACCCTGATCTTAGCACTAACGAGTCACATCTCATGTAATATAAATATGTTTATTAATACATTTCCCTGTAAATTTTATCCACATAAAGTAGGAAAAAAACAAGAACAAAAGGAGAGATTAAAGGCTTGGATCAGCGTTAGAACCACCACCGCCTCCTCTCTTATTTCCTGTTGTGTTCTTCAGAATCTGCATGCACCAAAAAACATCCCAGAAGTCCATAATAAAATACATAAAATAAAAGAACATTACCACCATACAAAACACAAAAGAATCTAACTTTGTATCCTCATCAACACCATTTTAACAGAAAAAAAAAACACTAACATAGATCACAGTGAATGAGCATTCCAAGAACCATTGAAAAAATCTTATCTTAGATTTGTAGTCTTTAAATTTACTTATCTATTTTGATGAATAGATCCCAAGGCTTGCAAATGTACCTGTCTAAGCATCTGGTTCTCGTTCTGCAAAGTAGAGAGTCTCTCTTCAAGTTCAGAATTTTTGTTCTCCAAGTCTTTCACTCTATTTTCCAACTCACCCAAGTAAGCTTTCTTCCTCTCTCTTGCTTGTTGTGCTGAAACTCTGTTCCTCAACAACCTTTTTTATACACAAAATTACAAATCAGCCCTTATTTACCCAAAATTACCTTTTTAACCGTTAATGGTAAAAATGTAAGAAAAAACTGGATTACCTCTTTAGCCGCTTGGTCTCTTTCTCCGCCGGAGTCCTCCCTCGCTTCTTCTGACCTTCTCCGACAGCCATCTGTGTCCTGTCCTGACCGTTAACCGATCCAGATGTTTCTTTTCCTGTAGCTTCTCCTCCAAACTCCGGAACTCGCCGTATCTCCTCATCACTTTCAATTCCTAAAATGAAATCAAAAGGAGAGTTTTTTTTTTAAGATAACGGATCTCGAGGTTTTTTTTTTGTCGGGCCGACCAAAAGTTACTGTCCTAATTGAAGAAACGTATGAATTATTTACTTGAGATTTCAATGCATGAGGCTAAAAATCGATGAGATACCTTCTTTGATCTCTAAATGGGGATTAGAGCTTGATGATCTCTCGCTGCTTGATGGTAGAGAGTTTGCAGCTAAAGAGCTGGTCGCTTGCTCCTGCATTTTCTTACTGTTTTTTGAATCTCCTTTGAAGATAGAGAGAGAGAGAGTGTGTGTGTCTGAAGCTGGTGATGATGAATCGAAGATAAAGATGAAAAGAGCGGGACTTGAGAAGTGACAAGAAATCCTAGTTGTGAGTCATGTCGGGAAAGAATAGTAGATTAGTGTTGTTACAGCCGTCAGATGGCAAGTGAATCTAACGGTTATGGAAGATGAATCGTGGAGGAATATGAGCCTTGAGGAAATATGAGGATCCAAAGGCACATGAGATGGGAACGTGGGGAGATATCAGCCGTGGATCTCCTAAGCATCTTACGGTGATTGGTGAAATAATGGAAACCGTATTAAGGGAAAGTGGGCCCATATGGTCTGTCCCTATGACAGAGAGTTTTGGCCATAGTTCTTTGAAAATATTACACCCAGAGTCACTTTTGAGTTTTTTATTTCACTCAGAGACACTTAATGCTCCTAAGACACTTTTCTTAACAGCCGACTTTTTCTCTGGTTATTTATCAATATTTAATCCCCTTCTAGTTACAATCTTAACTTGTTCACGAGAGTTGTATCGTTAATTTAAGCGGGAGACACTTCCCCACCACACATCTAGATTCCTTTTGTATGGTCCAGATTTTATTTTAACTTTTTGACAAGACATATAACTTTCCTCAATTGTAGCCACACGATCTTCTAACTTTTTGTACCCATCTACGCTCCACATTATTTCCATACAATCTTATCACATTTGACTTATTTTTTTCAGCAAAACAAACAGTCGGTGAACTCATCTCTCTCCGATTACCGCTGCTAAAAGAAGAGGTTAGTGTTAAACGTTGATCTATCCACCACGACTTTTCTTTAACCTAATTATCAAGTTATTGAAGTAACAACACAAAAAATGAAATTGCACAACTAAAATCAGTGGCGGCTCTAAAATTTAGTTACAGAAAGACAGGATACCATAATAGGAAGAAGATGATTTAATTACAAAATTGTCACTCATTAAAAGAAATGAAATTGTGTACAATTATATGTGTACATGTGTACATCTTCACAATTGTACACTCTGTATTATTAAAAAAATGTACACTCTTCACATGTGTACACTATTTATTGTTAAAACAAAAGGCAAAATTTACATATGTACAATTATATATGTGCATGTGTACTTCTTCACATGTGTACACTCTTTATTATTAAAGTAATGTATCATATATAAAAAAAAAAATTGATAAGAAAACAAATTTCATGAAAGTAATGAATCATTGTACATATGGATACTAAATTTTGTATACTTAATTTCATGTATGATTTTGATGAAATTTTTTATAGTGTGTACATATGAATCATTTGCCAAAATTGACAAGAGTACATATGAATAATAAATTATGTATACATAATGTCATGTACATATGACTATATACATAAATAACAACAATAATCGTTGTACATGTGGATAATAAAATGTGTGTAATTTCATGTACATATGACTTTTTGTTTATTTTTATTTTTTTTAATAAGGGGCATTTTAGTAAATTTGGTTTCGTCTTCCCCAAACTTTTAGGGTTTTCTGCAACGTTTTTTGGCGGCCGCCATTGATTTCTTTCTCTTAATCTTCCATTCTATTAGATTTTAATTGTTGGTTACACTTCAAGATCATAGCTTTATCATTTATAAATAGATTTTCAACTTCATATTTAAAAAGATAATGAGTTTTCTTTGAGATTTGGCCATTGTTATTTGAGCTTTATGGTGCAACTGAAAAACAGCCACCAAGGTGGGATTTGGAGCATGATAATAGCCACAAGCTATTGTCACATCATAATGAAAATGAATTGAAGAGTGTGATATATTGATTTACAGCAAAAGAGAAGAGTATAATATATTGATTTACAGCAAAAGAGAAGACGACCTGTGACGATTTTGTGATCGAGATCGACTGAGGTTCACCGGAACACGAAAAAGATGAGCTGAGGACCAAGAATCTCCACCTAAAATCCACCAATGAAAAACAGGATAAATAAATGATTTATATTTTCTATAACTAAAATTCATTAAATTCAAAATTCAAAAAGTAACTAGAAGTCCAACCAACTGTTAGCTTTCTCTGCCCAAAAACTCACCGTTTTTGCAATCCACCGACAAAAAGTGCCCAAGTAGCAACAAGTGCCTTACAGTGTAATAAAAAACACGAAAGTGTCTCCTAGTGAAAATAACTCTAGTTCTTTTATGAGAATATATTACACTAAGAGTCACATTTTCATTTATGAATAACAACATGAGTCACTTTCTTCTACCCACACACTTTTCCTAACTATTTGTTCAAGTCTCGTTAGGTTTTTTAACTAAAACAAAACCATTTATAATTTGTGGTCCCTATTATGTTTCTCTTCTCTTTTATTCTTTCCTTCTCATTATCAATTATTTTTGAAACATTGAACTGGGCTTATGAGCTTTAGTTCATTTTTACTATGCTGAAGTTCACTTGAGTCACGATTTCAATTCACAGTAGATGATTCACCATCACGTTACGTACCATGGACACTGAGACTGCTCCAAGTCGACGAGCTCTCCACCAGAATCATCAGCCATAACGAACTCCATCCATCGTCGTGTTCTTCCTTCTCCACTACTCTTCTCTTCCGTGTGTTTTTGTCCAGTGGGGAGCGTCAACGTCTTCGCTAGCTCCTCCGTCATCGGAATTGAAGGAGACTTTCTTCAGATCGAGAAGTTTGGGGCAACAATGGCCAATTTAGGCATTTTTACATATAGTCCTCCAAATTAAAATAATTTCACTTTAAGCCCTAAACTTTTGATTTTACAGAAATATCCTTTAATTTTGACCTCAAACTTCCAAATATGCATTTCATACCTTTTCAATTGCAAATTAATCGAAAACAAGTGTAAAAAGTTATATGGTGTACATATGGACACCCAAAAAATATGGATATCTTATAAAAGCTATATAGTGTTCATGAATGGTGTACATATGGACGCCCTAAAAAATAGTGTACACATGGATATCTTATAAAATTTGTATACACAACACACATGTACAACATAGACATGATGAAAAATGTGTACACATTGATATCATAACACACATGTACAACATAAACATCATAAAAGTGGTGTACACATTGATATCTTATAAAGTTGATGTACACATAAACATCATATAAAATGTACGTGTTCTAAAACTCTTACAAAATATCACATAAACCCATAAATCAATTCTGAAATAAAAAGCCAGGTCAATGAATCTGGAATTGGAAAATCTATTTTAGGTGAAACAAAGATAAAGCTTACAAAAGATCATGTTTTGATATAGATATGCAAAATATTAATGTCTTATCGTGTACATAAGTAGAAAGATTGTTGTTTTGTGTACAACTTGATTATGTATACTTTGTATCGTGTACACATGTACATTAAAGGCAAATGAAATATGTGGCAACATTGTACACGGTCCGGGTATAGTGAGTTAAGCAAAAATTAAGAGATTAATTGAGGATTAGTTTTTAGTATTAATCTCATTATTACAAATATATATAAAAAAGTAGGTGTAGTCTGGTGGTTATTAATTTTCGTTCATTCCATCTAAACCCTGGTTCGACCCCACCCCCCATCCATTTTTGTTTTGTTCGATTTTTATTTAATGAAGGGCATTTTAGTAAATATGTCTTCGTCTCTCCCTCCCTCAAACTTTTAGGGTTTCCTGCAAAATCTTTTTGTGGCCGCCTTTGATTTTTTTCATATAATCTTCTGTTCTTTGACATTTTAATTGTAGGTTACACTTTATGATCGTAGTTTTATTACTTATAAATTGATTTTTAATTTCAGATTTCAAAAATAATGAGTTTTGTGAGATTTGGCCATTTTTTCTCGAGCTTGACCGCAATGGCCGCCGCGACGCAATGGCCACCACGGCAGATTCCGAACATCACGACTATCACGAGCTATTGTCGCAGCAAATGAGACGTGGAGGAAGAAACTGTTTTGTTGATTTTACCATGAAGGTTGTCACTCACCATTAATGGAAGGAGATCGCGATTCATTAAAGGCTCGATTAATGGGCTCTGATGGTTTAAGCCACACAGTGGTGGAGAAGATGATAACCAAAAAACAAACAAAAAAACTGTTTTAAAATTAAAAACAAAACTAAAATAATAAAAGAACTAGAATATTGTCTTAGTTACGTTTAGTTAGCAAAATGAACTAAAAACTACTCAAAAAGTACCTTAGGAGCATAAAGTGCCCTAAGATGAAATGAAAAGTCATAAAGTAACTCAGTGTGTGAATCTCTCTTCTTTTATTCACACTAGAGATTTTTCCCGGGCTACGCCCGGGTTTTTTCCTTATATTTTAATTTTGTTTACTTTATTATAGAATATATTTAACTACTTATTCTATGCTTAAACTGAATTATCTATATAAACTATTATTTTAAAAAAAAATTGTATTATTTTTGGTGACTAAAATTAGAAAATTATTAAAATTCATTTTTTTAATACCAAAATACATATAAATTGGTAATAAACTGAACAAAAAGTTTTTTTTTCAAATTAAATTATTTTTTAACTTGTTTATTTGAATTTTATGAAAATGTGGTTAAATTAACATTTAATTCAAATATTTTAACGTTAATATCAAGAATATATATATATATATATTTAAAATTTAATATTTATAATTTATTATTTATTATTTGGTGATAATAAAATATATATGACTTCGCTCTTAAGTGTTAAGGCAGTGAAGAAATGAAGAATAATTAAAATATAAATGTGATGTACTTAAAAAGAATCTTGAAATTATTTCAAATACTTTTGTTTCTATTAATCAAAAAAAGAGTATGAAGCTACCCTTAAATTGTATAATTTTTAGTTAAATTAAAATATTTTACACTTCTATAAGAACATGAATTGTGTATGTTTATAACCATCAACTTTAAACTATTAAATTGGTAGAAGATTTTAAAAATTTTATGCATGTATTCATTGTCA